CGGCGGAGGCTGATAAGACTGGTGTGAAAGAGGAGGTCGGGGAGAAGGCGGCCGCGGCGGCGGCCGAGAATGGTGGGAAAGAAGAGGGTGAGGAGAAGGCGGCGTCGGCGGAGGCTGATGAGAATGGTGGGAAAGAGGAGGTTGGGGAGAAGGCAGCGGCCGAGAATGGTGGGAAAGAGGAGGGCGAGGAGAAGGCGGCGGCGGATGAGACTGGTGGGAAAGAGGAGGTTGGGGAGAAAGCGGCGGCGGCAGAGAATAGTGGGAAAGAGGAGGGTGAGGAGAAGGCGGCATCGGCGGCGGATGAGAATAGTGGGAAGGAGGAGGGTGAGGAGAAAGCGGCGGCAGCGGATGAGAATGATGGAAAAGAGGAGGGTGGGGAAAAGACGGCGGCGGTGGGGGCGGATGAGAACGGTGGGAAAGACGAGGGTGAGGCAAAGGCGGCGGCGACGGCGGCGGATAAGAATGGTGGGAAAGAGGCGGGTGAGGTGAAGGCGGGACGGATTCCGCTGCCGTGGGAGCTATTCCAGCCTATCGTGAGGATCGTGGGGCACTGCCTCCTGGGTCCGGCGAACCCGGAGGAGCTGAAGACCACGGCGTATGCGGTGGTGGAACGGCTGCACTGGAGGGCGACGCACGACATGAATCCGCAGGAGATTCTGGCGACGCGGAGCCTCCTCCGGCTGGGCAAGATGGGAGACGACACGATAGCGGAGCCTCAGATCTCCACCAACTCGGACGATTACTCCGAAGAGGCGTTAAAGATGAATGCACGACTAACGTAGTGGGTTTCAACGAGAAGGAAAAAGAACCATCAAATGCTTAGCTACAGCAATAGCATGGACTTAGAAATACATTTGATAGTTCCCTCTTTTTTTGTGTTTTTGTCCTTTTTGTTTTCACTTTAATACATTTGATTTTGCTTTATAAATGTTTTAGGATCTAAATGCTCATCTGGAGGAGAAAAGAAATCATTCGAGGAGAGTGATGATACATAAGTAGAGAAAAATATTAAAAGTGAAGGACATTCTTATCACAGTGCATGTTGAACTTTTCACGTGGTGGTCATCCATGTTGTCTGTCACGGGTAAAATGAGGAACTCAAAAGTATATATAACAAGTAATAAGAGTCACTTCAGAGCTCATCACTGATCTACCCATCACAATATCAGTAAGTAAAAGAAGGGTGATGGCAAATTTATCATCAAAGACAAAAAATAATAATAATAATAATAATAATAAAAATAAGATTTCCAGAACAACTGGAGTGTTTTGACGTGATTGGTGTCAAAGAAGAGAGCATCTCGAATCATGTGGTTCGCATCAGCTTCATTAGGCATAGTTTTCCATGCTCGTAAATTGTAATCTACATGTGCTACAATGAAGCTGAACTTTCGTTACAGCGAGACCTTAGCTTAGTATCTGAGAAACTCACTAATCTGTCCTTACATAAGCATTTGGAAAAAATTTAGGGAAAAATGAGTGCTTGGCTCTCACAATCAACCAATACAATCCGTAACAAGGAAAATGTATCAGTGCCATGCACAAGTACCTGCAGTGTGGATGTGTATAAGCTATCACAATTAATTAATTTGCACAAAATGGAGAATCAATCATATTTAGTGAAATAAAAGTTTACCAAAGAGGTGCCCATGGAGAATCGAGCTCCAGAAAAGGGTAAGGCCACCTGGACAAAGCATCAGGTAAAGATGGTCGGTCATATAAAAGCCACATGAATATTAATAGCCTAAAATTGAAATAATAATAATAATAATAACATTTGAAGATATTTTGAAGGCCTAATATTTTCTACAAGTAACACATAAGGCCTGCCATCATCCAACAATTAGGTAATAGAAAATCGAGTACTACTAAGGTACCGACAGTAAAACCACATCAATCAATGTTGAAGTAGGATATCCTCACCAAGTAAAACCACAAGCATGCAGAATCCACTGGACAATCGCATAGATACAGCTCCAGAGAACAAAATATGCCATTCGAAACCATGGAAATTTCTGAAAAGGAATGTAATTTAGACTCGCATGCATGTGAAAACAGAGTAACTAGCACATGATTGACTTACACATACCAGGTTATTGAGAAAAGTATCAACCAGAAGAAACACAGCATTCAGAGTATGCATGCAGCCCATTATCTGCAAAAGTCATGTCATAGTTTTTAGACGATAAAAAGGGTATGAGCTTAAATAAAATTAAAATATCACAAAGTCACTTTGTAGATTTGTCATAATAAATCCAGATGTCCTTCCAATGTAATAATACTGTTCAAATTTCAAAAAGTACAAGAGGTTCTTGATTTATGGTAAGATAGTCTTCAAAGCCAAATATTTACTATTTTCAAATACAAACACTTTTAAGTATAAATTCCAAAATAAAAAAAATGTAACAAGATAGTCTTTACCCTATCGAGATCAAATCATAAACACTTGTATGTTATATGAAAGCTTGTATGATGCCACAAACGATACGATGTATTTAACAATACGCACCAAATCAGATCATTCACTTTATGCAAAACACAAACAAAAAGAAAATTATGACAAGTTGAAGTAAATTTCCGGTGGTTCTAAAAGCTCGTGATGCTCTACAAACTTTTTGAATATTTGAAACATTGCCTACAGGGCAGGCAAATGTAGATCTAAAAATAGGAAGCATTGTTAGATATGTGAATAAAAAGGGCTCACAATAAACAGATGAACAATTTCATAGAATTTCCAATTTTGAAAGGACTTGAGTGAGCAAGGAAACTTGGACCATAAAAGCTCATATGAATAGAATATTAGTGCCATCCTAACAATAGCGTAATATCACATGAAGACTAAAATACCCTGGAACAAGGATGATAGTGGATTGGGTTCTCTTGGGTGGCTGAGCCTTCTGACTTGGCTTAATCCAGATTCAAGTAAGGGTTTATGTTCTCAGATAGATAGTCAGTCAGTTTCAGGTGTCCTACCTCCTATTCTTCCTCCTGTGGATCTATTTAACCCACTTACATGACATGATTTGTCATGCAATGTTGGTTAATTAATGTAAAGAAATGGTCATATATGTCACATGAAAAGAAACCAGCGAGGATAGTCCACACTGCATAACAAGGAAACTAATCGATTTCATGTAGAACCTAGAAGAATTATGGCAAATGTGAAATCAATAAAAGCAGGCAAGGATTCCCAAGTCGGGAAGAATGTAACCAGCAACACGATATTATTTGATGAGTTCTACATGCGTATAGAACACAGTCTCCAAGCCAACTTTTGTGAAACAAAAACCAAGATTCAAATCCAGGAATATTATGTATGTGAAAAGTGGTAATACTTCCTAGCAATGTAATTGCTAGTAATCTTAAAAAGTGTTTGTAGATCAAAAATTCCATTAGTTCAATAAGAGCCAAATTGAAAAGACAAGTGCTTAAAATGGGATACAGCATAAATGGCTTGTCAGGTGCCTTGGGAGAAGAAGGCTGACATCCTAGTCTTTTGATTTCTTTGTAGTTGCACTTAGTAAATGGCATCCACAAAGAGACATACATGACACTGGACAACTATCGACAAAAATCAAAGATGGTATACCAAAAGATGAAAGGAAGACGACTAGTGAACTAAATAGATGCAAGAATTTATGAAAATAATGATTACCTTGTTAGAGCGATACAATAACTATCTATCTTTAGTAGAACATTTTTATTATGTTTCTTATGCCATCATTTTTCTGCATTTTTTTACAGCATTTCCATTATATGTATGATTAACTGTGTGGGTGCAGTAGAAGAGTGAGCTTGTGGTTTTCCTTCAACCATCACTCATGTCATAAAATAGTTCAAAGAATGAATGAAGACAAATAATCTGAAGTTCTTATATAACAAACATATAAACTGGCAATAAATTATAGCATATGTTGAATAAAAGCATGAAACATAGGATAAATGCCATACCGAAACCATAAGATGATGTAATATTCCACGCAACGACAGGTAAATCTAGTGTGCACCAAACTTGTGAAAGCACAGAGGATTTTGATTGAATCTTTCCAACTTGGGGAAGAAAATGAGAAAAATGCAAATAACATGATCTCTCTTAAATGGTTAAGTTAACCGATAATGTAAGTAGGAAGGGAAACTTTAGTCTGTAGAATCAATCCAAATCAAACGTAAATAATACAGAGACCAATTTACATTCCAATTTTCTTTTTTAAAAAAATAGAAAATAGTAATAAGTAAATTGATTCTTGAACTCATAATTAGACAGAACAAGTATAAAGAGAGATTCGTGTCATCGAATTTTTTGCCCCCATGCAATGCAAGTTCAGTTCAGTTCAGGATACTCACAGCATTTAGCTCAAAATGTGCGGTGGACAAAAATGGTACTATGAGAACCCAAAAGATGACATCCGTCAACACTACCGCACCTGCACTGGTCTGTCAATTGAGAATGGTAACCATAAGTTTTATATATTTGACTGAAAATAGTACGATTGCAGAGGCTGGGGAAAAAGAACTATTTTGGAAGGTTATTCAAATCTTAAATCGATTACAAATCTGAAAAAGCTACAAAAAATCTGAAGTGGAAAAGCTATACAACTCCTGTGATACTAGTAATGAGGTTAATAAGCATATACTTCTGGTTAGAGCAAATAATTAGACACGTAAAGTAAAATGCCCTTTTATTAATTTTACTATAATCTTGGATCCACCCTTGAGAAACAGGCAGAGGCTAAAAGATGGAATGTCAGAAACACACAGCTGTTTACACTGCAAGTCTTCAGCAGTCCACCGTTGGTTACTCCTACTAGCAAGTGTTGACATAAGGTTATGAGTAACTTGGAATATTTGATTGACAATAAGACCCCCCCCCCTACCTGACCGTGTATTGTATGCCTCATGCTACCGTTTCTTCGTGATAGAACAGAAAGAGTTGATACGAGGAAAAAGCAGATCATGAAAGAGTCTGATGAATGCTTACAAGTAACTTGGAATATTTGACACTAAGATTCATGAAAGAGACTGAACATCTCATGCTTCTGGTTTGAAGTGATAAAATAAAAACATGTTATGAGATACTAACTAACCTGATAGACAAGTTGCATGCAATAAACCCAAAATCCAGCTCCTTCATCGTCAGCTTCCTGTTCATGATAGCTCTGCAGTCTTACTGCACTCATGTTATTGTTGGTTCTCAAAGGTAAAGTCACAGGACGGTTCTGGTGACCATCAGCATTAAATAATCTGTCGGCCTCCTCGTCTGGTGTGATATATCTCTTTGAGTAAAGCCAGCAGCCATGAGCAGATATGACAGTTCCGATCTACAGCAGGCAGGAACAACACCAGAAATCATTCTAACCTATTTCGGTTTCCTTTGCACCATAAAACGATTCGATTAGTATGACTTTTTCTTTATTCTTTTTGGGTTAGTTTTCTTTTGTGTGTTTGGGAGGAGGGGGTGGATACAGAAGATACAAAAATTAACTACCTAAGCTGTCTAGAGAGTAAAATGAAAACTCTCAAAGTAAAAGGAAGGAAGAAGAAGACAATGTCAGAACAAATTTGTAATTGGTTTAAAATATGCAACGGTCGAGGAACATACCGCGAAATAGATGATGACTAATGCAAATGTCCACCTGCAGATTATTCATCCAGGAAAAATCAACTGAAAATTTATTTATTTTTTTAACATAAATAAACTGCTTTTTTCTTAGACAAAATAAAGAGGCATATAACTAACAGATTAGCTGAACATAAGAGGACATCAGTAATTAAGATTAGATGATGAATGGATGCAATCGAATGCAGCTCCTTCCTTTCACACATGCATAATAATTTGAAATGCAGATGCCTGTGGTTTCTAAAACCTTAGAAACAAAAAAAGGACAAGGAGAAATGTGATAATGAAAAGAGGTAACACTACTGACAGTTGGAAGTTAAACTCTTTGGATACTCTCTTTTGGTATCCAACTTCTACTCTATTCTAGTTGGTGTTCTCTTCAGACTGCATCCTAGAACCACCACATCTGCCGGGCTCTCTGTTACATGGCTACTACTTGTTGGCACTTCACCTCTTGTGTAAATAAGCATCTTCCCTGTGTCTGCAATGCCCAGTTACAGGTCACTTTTCTCTCCTAAGGGACTCCTTAGTCGACATCCAAAAGCAACAACCGACAGGATATCAAAGTCACTGAAATGTAGGGTTCAAGAAAAGGGCAATGCACAAAAGTCAGTCATTTAACAAAATTATTCTCAGAAACCAGATGGACCTAATTCAAGCTGTTCATTTCGTTGTACTCCCAAATTTTTTTTATATATTATTATATTAGCATAGGCCATAAATTCTTTATTATTTTGTTTGACTATTCACTTTTCTAAAGGTGTCATTGTACTGCAAATCAACTTCTAAATACTCATTTGCTACTACCTACCTTACACTTATTATCAACAAAACTAGACCTAAATCTAAATTGCTAGTTTCCATCTGCTTGCTCCTGGTTTGAAACATCAAAACATGATCGGAGTTCTTCACCTACTGTCAAATTTCTGGTGTAGCAGTAAACTACTTTTACCATCTCAAGAGCTTAGTAATAATCCACATCATAATTTCAATTTTCGTAGCTGACATCTGTTCATTTCCAGCAAAAGAACAAATCATTTGTCACTCATCTCACAATGAACTGTCCAACCGAATCCAAAAAAATGGAGAAAGAACAGATCGGTTCAAACAATATAAAGAAATGAAGCATGCATTCATGGTAACAAGGCTTTGGTTTTAGGAAGCCTCACTGAGTGTAAAAGCAGAACGCGCTGAACCCACGAAAGAGAACCAGTTGGAACAGCAGCCACTTCGAAGGAATCAACCTCCAAATTGGATGTTGATTCCTTCGAGAAATTATACATATATAGTTATTTAATCCTTCGTCAACTAGGACTAGTATTTCTAACAAAAAAAATATAAATAATAATCTTTCATTTGTTACATCAAACGACTCCTATTATAATTAGAAAAAAATTAAATAAAAAAATAAATATTAATATCAAATCACTAAAATTAAGGAATCCAAACATTTTTCACTCCTCCAAAACAGCCTTGTCATTAATGTTGAGCAACAATAAATTTTAAAAATTTCTCCCCTAATGTTTTGTAAGACTCCTAAGTGACATCTTCAATTAGTAAGTTGACTCAATGAACATGTATCTTAGTGATAAAATATCTATGACGCATCACATCACATCGATCAAGTATGACTTAAAGCAAAATTTGAACCTCACTGATAGAAGAAATATATGACAAATAATATTGCATAACATCATTCTCACCTAACATCTTTTTAAGACAAGAAACATGAAAAACTAGATGTACGTAGAGCTTGCTGATAAGTCCAAGCGATAAGCAACTGATCCAATACGTTCCAACACCTTATAAGGCCCAAAGAATCAAGGAGATAATTTCATAAAAGATTGAATCTTTATATAAGTTTACTTGTAAGACTAAAGTTGAAGAAAAACTTAATTTCCCGTTGCAAACTCTCACTTACTACGATGCTTATCAGCTTGCTACTTCATTCTAGCTTATGAGACTATGAGATTATCTCTTAGATATTAAATAATCTTATCCCTATTAAGTAATTTCTTATTCACTTGATCAATCTTAGAAGAACCTAGCATGTATTTTGTAATCATCGAAGGGGGTCGATCATAAACCGCTTCAAAAGGAGTCATTTTAGTAGAGGAGCGATAAGTGATATTATACCATCATTCTGGCCAAGGCAGTCATTTCATCCACTCTTTTGTATCACTAGCAAAGCATATGAGATAGTTTTCTAGACATCTATTCATCACTTCAATTTGTCCATCTATTTACGATTTCTAGACATCTATTCACTACTTTAATCTGCTCATCTGTTTGCGAGTGATAAGCAGTTTAGAAGTCATTTTTATGTACAAGAATTTGGTGATAACTAGACTATAAATCCAATTTAGTGAAAACTTGTGCACCTCTCAATTTATTAAGTAACTTATCCACTACTAGAATAAGATACTTGTCTTTCATTATAATATTATTTTATTGAGTACTCAATAATTTACATACATTCACCAAGAATCATCTTTCTTCCTTGCTAATAAGATTAGAGATAAGTATGGACTAACACTAGCACTTATGGCTCCTGCCTCAAGCATCTTATTAATATTTTTTTCTATCTCTGTCTTTTGGAATTGTCAATATCGATAGAGTCGAATATTAGTTAGTCCCAAGCATAAAGGAATCCAGTGATCATATGATTGAAGAGGTGGAACTCCTTCTAGTTTTGTAAAGGCATCTATAAATTCTCTAAGCAATGATTGAATATTTTCATCTTGTTCAAGTACTATAGCTTCCTCTTCAATGCTCTATAATTATACCAAAAATCTATAGTGTGCCTTTCAAAGAACCTTCTCTATTCTATGGCTAGTAATAATTGTAACTTTACTGTCATGCTTTCCCTTTAGGGTCATTTACTTTTCATTGATAAAAAAATTCATAATTAATCTAAATTTTTTTTAAGAAATATTACTTAGAGTCAATAGCCACTCAATTCTAAGTATAACCTCATAGTCCTCCAATGCTAATAAGAAAAAATCGATGAGCAACTCTTGGTCTTGCATAACAAGCTTCATTTTGGAACACTTACTATCATAAGTTAAAATTCGTCGATCAGCAACCTTCACCTCAAACTTATCATAATGTTTAATATGATAGGCTAATCATATAGCTGATAGAAGATCCTGATTTAATTAATCATGATAGAGGTAATATCAGATTTGAATAACTGATTTGATTATGATTTGAGTGATTGATTGAGAAAATTTTCTTCCTCAAAACCTATATAAATACTCATTTTTTAATGAATAAAAATAATCTCTTTCATAGTATATTTCTCAATTCAATATGGTATCAATGCATATCTTGCCTTGAGCGAGCCTTCCCCTTCTTGTTGTCTAACGATAATAATCTCTCCTTTCTCTGTTATTAGTTTTCTCTCTTCCTCGGTGATCCCTTTGCTCACCAGCAATTTCTCTATCGATCGTCCTACCATCACTACAACAACAATGGCTCACCTCTACATCGAACGCTTGCCTTGTTACTACCATCGATCTGATAAAAATTAAACGAAGAATATAGAAAGATAGAAGTTGTAGAAGAAACTATGAAATGTATAAGATGTAATTGTTTAGTTCATTTTGATAGTGAGCTCTTGATAGCTATTTATACACACTCAGCAGGGAGGTTATACACATTCAGCATGGAGGATTTTTCTCAACTGCTTAGAGATTTCCTCAACTGCCTTGAGGAAATCTTATCTACTTATCATGCCCCCCGAAGATTGAGCTTCCATCAAGGATGCCGATCTTGGACCGATGAGATGAAAAAAGTTTACGGGCGAGAGGCTTTATGAGTGAGTCTGCTAGTTGATCAGCTGTATGTACGTGAGAAACACGGAGTTGATGTCTGACAACTTGATCTCGCACGAAGTGGAAGTCAATGGCTATGTGTTTCATGCGGGAATGGAACACTGGATTAGCACATAAGTAGGTAGCTCCAATATTATCACAATATATTGTAGGAATAACTGTGGAGTTGACGTTGAGTTCCTTGAGCAGATTTGTGACCCAATTAAGTTCAGCAGCGGTGGTGGCGATGGCACGATATTCAGCTTCAGTTGTAGATCGTGCAACCGTCTTTTGTTTTTTTGAACTCCAACTGATTGGAGTAGCTCCAAGGAAAACAATGTATCCGGACGTAGAAGTTCTATCATCAAAGTTCCCTGCCCAATCAGCATCAGCAAAAGCATGGAGATGGAGTGAAGTATTTTTGCAAAGAAAAATGCCATGATTAAGAGTCCCTTTAAGATACCGTAAAATTTGTTTGACTGCAGACCAATGCGTAGTAGATGGTTGATGCATGAATTACGATAATTTATTGACGGCAAATGAAATATCTGGACGGGTGAGAGCCAAGTACTGTAAAGAGCCAAGGACTTGTCGATATTGAGTCGAATCTATAGTAGGACTTCCATCACATAATTTAAGTGATTCACTGGTAGAGCCTAGAGCAAGCTCTCTTCTCGCTGCCGACTCATCACTGTTGCTTCTCCAACTCCGACGGCAAAAGAAAAGGCTTTCTACTACTGCTTTTCCGTCGTCCTTGCAACTATTCCTCGGTCAGCGACCTTTCCTCCTCGTTCCCACATCTCACTCGAGCGAGAAGTGCTGCTGCCGCCATCCTTACCGCCACAGCCATCACTGCCTTCCTGCGGTAATAGGAATGATTGCAGTTTTTACAGCTTCTATCTGCAGCCGCTTCCCTCTGCCGTAGCAATTTCTCTACAACTGTAACTACTACAGATTTTTTTTTTCTTTCTTTTCACCTAATCGCTGCAGATTTCTTGCTCATCGCTGCAGCCTCCTCTGTAGTGCATCGCTGCAGCCTTCTCTGTAGTGCATCGTTGCAGCCTCCTCTGCAGTCCATCGCTGCAGCCTCCTCTGCACTATCGTTGCAGCCTCCTTTGCAGTGCATCGATCTACTTTTCTCCTCCTCCATCCCTCCTATATCTTTACATCTTTTGTAAAGATCACTTAAACCACCACAAAA